GAGCAGGAAGCCTGCATAATGAAGGATTTGTTGACAGAGGTCTTCATATCAAATCAGCAAAAAGGTAGCAAATGATCCAGTTTCAGGCATACTTCCTTGACCCATGTAACCTTGGCCCTTCTAACGCTCCTGATTATGGGCACAATGTACCAGGCGTTCTGCTCTTCTCAGGCCCTTATTGCTGCCACTTTTGAACCTCATCTATTAAAGCTTTCACCAAGAAGCCAAACAGCACACTCACTAATTTTGCAGGAGAGAGGCATTATTTATGCATGAGGAAGATGATGGCTGTTGAAGACCAAACACCCATTCAGAAAGGTGCTTAAACATTTGTCTGGTGCTAAGTGCATAAGCAGCCCCTCCTGTGAGTTTCCAAACAGTGAGAAATGAACTACAAGCAGAACACCAATCCTATCTCCTCAGCACTTTGCAAGTGATATCCTAACTTGTTTCAGAGCGTTCTTGGTCTCCTACCTGTCCCCAGGAGGCAGCTCATTCTGGGGCCAGACGTGGCAGTAAAGAACAGTTAGTCCTGCTGTCCCTGCGTGGGGAGCTCAGGGTGGCACCACGTAGCCCTCCTGCAGGACACAAGCCTACTTCAAACAGGTACGTTATCTTGTGTACTTCTGATAGTGTGGGCTGGTAGTAAGATAGAACTGATTTTACATGGTAGGCATTGTACTATAGGCAATAAGATGTGTTTCTGCAGTGCTCTAACACTGTGCATGGATAGAGTATGGTTCTACGATAAACATACAAAAATATGTGACAGAGTTCCTGGGCTTTCAAGGACTAAATAAATTCATCTCTGAGAGTTTTTTTAAATGCTTGAGGCATTTTCTAAATCCAACATTTGGCAGCGATAGCTCCTTGCCTGAGTTAATTCCTCAGTGGTGCTTGCTGGACTTTGCTTGATCAATACATACACGAGTCCAACCGACACTCTCTCCTAAGTGACACATGTGAAAGACTCTTCTAAGTTGTAGTACATGAGTCCTTTAGCTCTCGCCAAGAATCTTGCACAATGAAGCAGCCTCACAGACCACAGGGGAATGACAGCAGGCAGTCTTGGAGAAGCTGAACATACACAGAGCCGAACTAAAGTGTCTCCAGTGTGCTCATTTCATTTACATCTCATTCATTATGGAAACGAGGTGTGAAAGTAGTTTCTAGAGCTACTTAGTGCAGGCTGCACATCGATTTAATACCTATTCTGGTTTTTCAAGTCACTTACCTCCATAGAACTCTTGTTCCAAACCAATTATTTATCTGCAATGCTCAGCCTTTGAATTCACTGGTGTATTAATGCAGCTTGGTCTAAACTACTATATATTTAAGACTACTGAAGGGGAAGCTTTTAAAATGAAGGAAGACAGTAAAGAACCGGCTTACCTGATTTATAGGACAATTGAGTTTCTACTCCTGATTGTATTTATGCATAAAGTCTCTAAAAAAAGCCAAACTGCATCAGATGCATTTTCTTTTGTTAACACGCCTGTATCAGTCTATCAGTCTAGCTACTCACATGAAAAGAGACTCAAACATGAAAATAAGGAGGCAGCTGCAAAGAAAGAAAAAAAAAAGGTCATTAGTAACGCTCACAGGAGACTGCTTGCTATCAGCAGGGCTCTTTATCAGCCTCAAGAGATTGCCAATGGGAGCCATGGCTGCAAAATGTTATGTGTGTGCAGCATCTAAACACCATCACCGCTTTTATGATGGGGAAGGGAATTTAGCACCCTTCATTTGCCAAATGGATTCTCATCTGATTGCCTAAAACACAAGCTTTCCCCCTTGAGATGCTCCATGGTGCAGAAGCTCTCACTTAAATGTATGGGCCCTGAGCTGTGAGAAAAGTGAACATGCACAAACACACTCACCCCAACAGATAGATACATACAGATGTACAAAAATCTCTACAGGAAGTTGATTTATTCTGCTATTAGCAGACTAATTAAGAGTGTTTGCTTGCATACAGATGGGCACAATCCACTCTGGCTTCTCCTTGAGCAGAGCTCAGGATCCTGCTCAGTGGTTGTGATGCATTAAAGGGTGAGGGGGGAGTGATGTCTCCTCCTAGTTTTGCCATAGATTTCCTATGTTACTTTGGGCAAATCACTTAACCTTGGTATTCTCCATGTCAATAAGGAATCCACCCTGCTCAGAGCACTTTGAGATCTATGGACAAAGAGCACTTTAAATACTAGGTATTATTTATAGTATTGCCCTATGGATAATAGCAAGCTACAGCTGTTAGAGACAGCAGGGACCTCTGAGCAAGCAGAAAGGCATAAATCTGAATGTCAGTATCCTTAGCATTGTAGCTGGCGGCTGTTTTGTCCTAGGAGAACATTTCGGTGGTTTGTGCTACCAGATGAACTTGCTGTTAGTTCTTCATGTTCCCCAGAGGCAGCTAACGCAGAAATCTGGATTTACCATAGCAGCTCACTGGTAAAGCAATTCTGACAGCCTGCTCCCAGCGTGGCTTGTACCTGCTCTTTCCGAAGGAGAAAGATCGGCCATGCAGTGATGCTTTTGCAAGGCAACCATGCACGCATCTGATCTGCACGGACCGCCGGCTGAGATTTGGCCACATTTACCCTGACCTCCGTGTTGCTAAGGGTAAGTCTCTGTGGACACAATGTAGTGATGTGTAAAAAGCACCCAAAATAGCTCTGGAATTGGAGGCAAGACTGCGGGCTAG